TAAATCAGTGAAGATAAAAGAAGACAAAAGACATCTGAATTAATCAGTTGGAAAAATCTTCTTTAGCCTTTGATACACTGCAGACAATGGAGTCATCAGTTTAAAGAGATGGACACTAGTGGTTCAGAGACGTTGCCTCTTTGTTTGCAAGATAATCCATATCTCTGTCCTCTAAAAAAATTAAATAAAAAGGATGCTCAGGAACAATCAAGTACAACAGAGACCAACTAAAAAAGTTAAAGGATAACTGGATATTCTTGTGTTAAAAAAAAAAAAAAAACGTTAATACATTTGAGACCACATCTGGAAATAAAATGGCCTCCAGGAGAAAAAAACGCTGAGGTCTAAAACACCCTACTAAGAGCCAGGTAATCAATCATTTCATCTAAACTTTTTCTAGGAGGAGTTTTACACACGCAATCCGACTGAAGTCATAATAAATTATATAAAATCATAAAACACATAAAATAAGCAATAAGAAACAAACAAATGGAGTAGAAGGAAATCAGAAAATCTGTAAAAACAATTTAATAAGTTTAGATAAAAACAACCCAATACATCTATAAAAAACAAAAAGTTAACAGCTGAGATTTAAAAAAGCAAAATATGGTCTATGATTGAAGATCATTCCAAAGTGCGGCCACAGAGAAAGCTCTGTCTCCTCGCCTCACAAGACCACTCCATTAAAGAGAGGCAGCTTGCTTGACCTCAGGGTTCTACTGGAAACATGCAAGAGCTCCGATAAACAAAAACAGGAGCTCAATCTTTAAACATTTAAACTCAAATCTTAAAAACAAGGTTGAAGTGGCTGAAACCATTAAGATGGTCTACATTCATATTGTGCACCACTGGACATCCAAATTGAACAATATCGCCAAAGCTTTGCTTTTATCAGAAGCAAGCCTTGACAGCCCACAGCATCACACCTCCTCCACCAAAATCTGTTTCAATGTATTTTCATTAGAATTTTGCTTTTCTACTGATATAAGGTTTACTGCAAATAAATATCCATTCAACTTTAAAAAAAATAAAAAATCAGAAACAACTAAAATTACTTGTTGTTCTTGAATATATATGATTTATACAATTAATTATTTTGTTAATTTCCATTTCATGAGCTGAAAGCTTGCACTTTCCAGACAGTCAACATCTTACATTGATACTCTAAATTTTCCTGAGGTTTTTAAATCAAACCAACAAGCTTCAGCTGTGAAAACTGATCAGTGTGGATTAGAGCATTTGCTGCAAAGCCTTTGGTGTATTTACAGCATTTGCTTCACTATAAATCCAAATAAATATCAGTCTGAATATATACTAGCTGCACTGACATTATTAATATTAATCTGAACTACAAAGCTGCGGTTTCGTTGATGATTGCAGAGGAAGCTTGACGTGGCTAACGTCTCTGGTCAGATGTATATATTCACTAACATAGCTAACTAAGCTAACATAAAGTTAGCCATCCCATCTCAAATGTGATGACTGTTCCGTCCCACTTCTAGATATTCTGTTAGTTCCTATTTTTTTCCACAACCACAGCGGGATACTCACCGCGTGGGAGTCAGCGTCTCGTCTGCTTGTTCACAGAATGTTCTCCACGATGCTCCACTGAA